TACTATTATATTACATGGAAATATACAGGAAAATTGTGTGGTATATTTCCATATAATATAATAGTAGCAGTCTTCTGATATAAAGGAACACATTGTTTATATCAGAAGACTGCTACTATTATATTATATGGAAATATACAGGAACACATTGTTTATATCAGAAGACTGCTACTATTATATTATATGGAAATATACAGGAACACATAGTTTATATTAGTTATAAATAGTTTATATAGTATATACAACTGTCACTACTGTGTCATTTCTTTTTTAAAAAAATATGTCTACATTTTCATAGCTTGATGTCTTAAGATCAACTTATTATACTAAAAATAGAAATAAACCAATTATGAACACACAAGTTACATTAATTTCTGCACAAGACATACCATGAGTGGTTGAAGGAATAGTAGTGGCATTGAAGCAAGTGCTTTTCCTGCTTCTTTAAACAGAGCCGACACCTGTGAAGCACAAAGTTATGACAGTTACCTCTTTTTTTAATTATAACTTGCACCAAATAATACTGTACTAATAAATTAAGGCTTATCGGTTTGATGCTTGATGTAGTCCACCCAGCTACTAATACTGTACTAATAAGTTAAGGCCTATCAGTTTGAAGCTTGATGTGGTTCATCCCACTATTAATACTATAATAGCATCTTCAGCTATCATGGTTAACATCTCCAGAACAATCTAATATAGTGACAGAAATATGCAATAAACATTCATGGATGTACAGCCAGCCTTAAGATAGTTTAAACATCACTTTCTAAAAATCAATACTGTTCCGAACTAGAGAAAGGTTCCAATATTTAGTACATGCTGTAGGATTTGCTATATTTGTAAAACAAGTTACACACATTACAACAACTATAATACATAGTGTAGAACACAAATGCATTAGAAAAGAGATCTGAAAAAATAAAAAATAGAGTAAGTTCAAGAAACCAAAAATAAAATATACTTACTAATTCAATCCTCTTTCTCATGACAATAATGATGAGAAGGAAAATGAACTAAAAATAAAAATTAGAGAACATTACAAGACACATAACGTATCTTGAAATAAAATGTTTCGCATACCAGATATTAATAACAGAAACAATTAGCATACAAGCTTAAAACACCATGTTTAATATACTACATGTTCCTGATAAAACAGCTGGTGTACAACTATAAAAACCAGCTGTTTTATCAGGAACATGTAGTATATTAAACATGGTGTTTTAAGCTTGTACACCAGCTGTTTATCAGGAACATGTAGTATATTAAACATTGTGTTTTATACTTGTACACCAGCTGTTTTATCAGGTACAGTACAAGTATAAAACACATGTTTAATATACTACATGTACCTGATAAAACAGCTGGTGTACAAGTATAAAACACCATGTTTAATATACTACATGTACCTGATAAAACAGCTGGTGTACAAGTATAAAACACCATGTTTAATATACTACATGTACCTGATAAAACAGCTGGTGTACAACAATAAAACACCATGTTTAATATACTACATGTTCCTGATAAACAGCTGGTGTATAAGTATAAAACACCATGTTTAATATACTACATGTTCCTGATAAAATAGCTGGTGTACAACTAATAAATACCATGTTTAATATACAACATGTTCCTGATCAAACAACTGGTGTACAAGTATAAAACACCATGTTTAATATACTACATGTACCT